GTGTGTGAGAGAAAATGAAGACCACACTCACGTTGCGGCTGCAGCCCCCAGGGGTTAATCCCGAGCAAGGGTCTGACTCCGAGCAGAGGCTTCCGTCCCCTTCATATCCAGCTTTGCAAACACAGCTGCCAGGAAGAGGAGTGCACAAAATCAGCCCCCAACTATAAGCTCCAACCACCCAGAAGAGGGCCAGCTGGCCAGGGGTGAGCCAGTTCATGGCTAAGCGGCTTGACAGCTTGCCCTACTTGGGGGACTCAGTGTACCAAAGTGCCCACGGGCATTTCTGAGGTCTGCAGTCTGACAGACATAGGTGGGAATCCAGCCTCACCTCGCAGCAGTCGTGAGACCCTGGGCCGATCCCTTAACCTCTGGGAGACTTTGTTTCCTCATCTGGAAAATAGGTCTAACCACACCACCTCCCTCAGAAGGCCATGGGGAAGATGAAATGAGCTAAAGCACGTGGAGCATTTAGGCGGGCGCTTGTACACAGCTGCACCTTATAAGGCTCAACAGCTGGCAGCTTTTCTGCTCATAACTCTAGTTATTATCTCTGGTTCATCAGAGAACAATTCTACCCTCTCTTCTATGAGACAGTTCTTAAAATATGGAAAATGATGATCAGGTGAGACCTCCTGTTTCTCCCTTTTCTAGCCCCTCAGGTTGTGTGTGTGTGTGTGTGTGTGTGTGTGTGTGTGTCCATCCAAACACAATATTCTTGGGTGCCTCATCCCCTGCACTGACATAGTTTCCTGACCCCTTACCCTCTCACACACTCCTCTCAAAATGTTCTACTGTGATACTTTCACAATTACTTGGGGGCTGTTGGTTCAACCAATATTTACTGAGTGCCCTATGATAGGTAATGGGACACCTTGTGCCCCATCACACTCTTATGTCACTACTGCAAATTGTATGTGTCAGAAAAGTTAAAAATTTTTTTTTCATGTATCAAGGAACTAAATACTTTATCTGGTGCCCAAATGAAGACATAGGTTGACTTGTTTTGACCCTGTTTGACTTGTCTAAGCTTATGTAGTATCTACAGACCCACATCGATAGTCCTTTGTGGGTGATTTAAGAGGTTTTAAGGACAATTACTTATGGGCTTTGCCTTATACTCCGATGTAGATCCTAACTCCTTAGGAAGAGAGAAGGTAGTCTCTGGCCCATGCCATAGTAGGGGAGACAGACCATAAATAGGTAAGCAAATAATTATGTAATTACAAATGAAGGGTGCCGTAAAAATAAGGCCAAGAATTCCAGACTTTCTTTGCATTTTCCAGGATATTTTTTGAGTGGTTACTGACTTTGAACCAGATATGCCTGCAGAGGAAATCTCTCTTCAAGCGTTCTGAATGTGTTAGATGGTACTAAGGAAACAAATAATGACCCAGTGACGGTCCCAATTTCCTGTAAGGTACCTCTAGCAGGGGAGTAATTCATAACGGCCTTAGGAAGTAAGGTGTTTTTAAAGGGTTGGAAAGTCGGTGGACAAAACTTCACTTCCTTCACGAGTGATGATACTTGCAGTTTCCATTGAACACCTATGACGTGGTAGCCCTGGTGCTGGGTGCTTTTACCTTCGGTTTTTCTAGTGTCCACAATTGCCCTGCTACATAGGCAACGTCACCCTTATCGTATTGATGGGGAAAATGAGTGTCAGAGAGGTTAAGTAACATGCCCGAGGTCACACAGCTGGGACGTTTCAAAGGAGAAATGCTGCAGTTTGAACCCAGCTCTTCTGAGGTTTTCTCTCCACAAAAACCACACTGGCAGCTGGGGAGAACAGGCCTTAGTATTTGCGTTGGGTCCGTCAGCAGGTAACACAGTGGCTATGGGCCATTAAGGGCGGTGCCCCTCCTCCAACCCACAGACCTACCTCGCTGTCCCATTGCTGTATTCACAAGTGGCATGGATGTGACAGAACTGCACATAGGGCCCACAGGCTGAGGTCTGCTTGTGGCAGAATCTCCCAGTGGAGCCGTCTCTGCATGTGCCAGCGAGGCAGGCTCCATCACCGTCAATCCTGTTATCACATGTTCCATAAATGCAGAGACATTCTGAAAGGGCACAAAGAGAGACATTCAGGGTTTGGAGACAAGCGTAGGCTTAGGGGACATGGAGCATGGAAGACCACCTCCCCTCACCTCTCGTTCATTCCTGTCAGAGCAGAACCTGGGGCTGAGCAGAGGAAGGCTCTGGATGCTATTTTGTAGGGTCTCAAGTGTTTCTCGGAGTGCCTGGGACAGCTCCTGGTGAGCTTGACTGTCCCATCAAGGATGAGAAAAGCTTGGTCTCAGGGCTGCTTTCTACGTATGTGTGTGAGGTATGGTGGGGAGGGTGGGTTGTGATACTGTGAAAGAAGCCAAGGAACTCAATTTTTATCTTCTTTGTGGTTGGAGACTTTAGTCTGGAAATTTCTCATCTTTTTGTGAAGACACTCTGGCAAAATAGAATTAGTTTCTCCTGCTGGCATGATCTCTGATGCGTAGCTTACATATTTGTTTTTCACTCTTCATCACAGTAAACCAATGATAACGAGTTGCCTACTGACCTTGTTCTAGGTATCGGGCCAGCTTTTAACTTATACTATCTCATGAATAGCCTCAGAAATAAGTATCATCCCCATTTTCCAGATGAGGAAATTGAAGCCCAGACAGGTGAAGCAAATTGCTTAACTAGTTGCTAAGTTCCCAAGCATGGACTTGAACTCCAGCCTTCAGAGTCCATTTCTTTTAGTGACCATGTGTCAGCACAGTAAATCAGTAAATTCACTGGCATTTCCACATGTCTGTTGTCATTTTTAACTTTAGCTGCTTACTTTGCTTTTGATTATAGGTATTTAAAAATTGCAGCATGAGCCAGCTCATCAGACTCAGGCTCCTATGCGCACATGTGTGAATGATTCTCAAAGGCAGGTGGCAAAGATTTGGAGGCTTGAATATGATCAGAAATGAAGGAATCTGTGGTTTTGCCCCAGAAAGGACTAATGGGAGAAAAATTAGTTTGGGTGCTTGGAGCCAATATCCAGGAAAGTAAAAGAGAAACAGTTCGAGGGCTGGAAAAGCATGACTGGATTGAAAACAAAAAGGACTTTTCATAAACTTTTAAGAAAGTCAGGGATTAATTTGCAAGAAGCAAGACCTCAGAAAGGAGGGTCCCCTGCCTGAGATGGTGGAGTGAGAAAGATTCGAGTAAGAAGCCCAACACCATTGCCCCAGCCCTGGCAGCCTGACCCAATTGTCCTCATAAAAATGCCGACATTGGCAGGCTTTGGCATAAACCCTGATTTGTTTTTCCTCAGAAACCCTATTTGGCAAAAAAGAATACTGGACTACGATCAGCAGCCCTGACTCTACTGTGCTCTGGCTTCTTGTCCATCTTAAGAGGTAGTCGTGAAGATCAGGTAAGGTAGGGGAAGGGAAGGATTGTGCATTTCAAAACAAGTGAGTGAACAGAATAGTAATAGTAATAAGAATGGCTTTATTTACTGATTACTTGGTAGGTGCAAGCTCTGTGCTAACGCCCTAAATTATGACCTAACTTAATCAATGATCTATGAAGTGGGTACCAGTATTATCTCTATTTTATAGATGGGAAAATCGAGGCTCGATGAGAGATTTTTTTCTAAGGTTGTACAGTGAGGATTTAACTTCAGCTGGGTTTGACTCCATAGCCAGCTCTGATCTTTTTCTTTTATTCTATCATTTAAGTTCTAATCCTAACTTAGAAGTGTGTTATCTAAATATATTTACATATATGAATATATACATAATATCATTTTAAAGAACACAATGCATTTTCTCAGATTATATAACTGCATTTTTTTTAAATGTCTTGTGAAACTTTCGACATGTTCTACAAGCTTCTTGACATTTTTGTCACTGAACGGAGAATAATAGCAACAGCAAAAATAATAATGTATGAAAATAAAGGCTAGCTTATTGGTAGTGCACACTACATGCAGGCATCGTTCCAAGGCAAGTGCTTTCCACTTATAACTTCAAGTACAAGGCGGTTAGTATTATTATCTCCATTTTAGATGAGGAAACTGAGTCCTAGAAGAGGTGTAGTAACTTGTCCGAGGTCATACATTTTGCAAAGGGAGAGCTGATGGAAGCAGACTGTTTGCAAGGCAGAGGGCAAGTCTGTCGTTACGAAACCCATTATCACTTCAGGAATGTGTGGAAACCTTGAGAGATTGATTTTCCAAGTGTGGTCCTTGGACCAGCAGTGGTCAGCCTCCCCAGGGAACTTGTTGGCAGTGCAAATTCTCAGACGCCACCCCAGGTCCACTGTCTCAGAAACTCTGCGTGTGGGGCCTGGTAAGCTGATATATGCTACAGCCTGAGAACCCAGCGCTTGAGCAATGCCCTATAATGAGGCCATCACCAAGCAAAGGGCCCTGGACACCAGGCCTGCACCACAGACTTGCTGCAGTGCAGCGGGGATCCCGAATGAGGAGCAGAAGGAAGCTCTGAAAGTGCCACTTACTTTTGTCACACCGAGGTCCATATTTATTGGGATCCGAACAGAACTGACACTGGGAGCCTTGGAAGCCATCCTGGCAGATGCACGTCCCATTGCCACCAAGGCCATCTGCGCACTGAGAGCAAAGGCAGGCCCTGGGGGCCGTTAGGACAACACAAGCCCCCACGGGAGTCCCAGACCCTTTTGTTGCATGGCCCGACTTCTTTGAACTCAGGCTTGATCCTGCTTGAACTGACTGTCTGGGACTGTTTGCGGAAAGTGGAGTCATGTTGGTATTAGGTGGGAAGCTCAAACAGGATTTAGAACTTTAGGGAAGTCATTCAAGGGAGCAGGGGAGAGTCACAGTGGTGAACTGGGAACCTCTCAAAAATGCTTACGGGATAGCGTGACAAGCCAGTGACCCCCAGATTAAGGGCTGACCTTTCCCCCAGATCCTCACTTGCTCAGATCCGTGACTTTACACTGTACTGTTTCTTCCTGTACTGGAAAATATTTTTTCCTTCCCACCTCCCCAGCCATTTCAAGGTCAGATTTGTAATGATCGACATGCCCCAGAGCTGGGCTTGGGTGCCTCCCTGACCACCCGGCTACAGCAGTTCATCCATACCAGCTTCACTGTAGCCTCCTCACCCGCGTGGGGTCCCCATCTGTGGTCATACAGGTTCCTTTCCTCTTGAAAGAAGCATGCGCTAGATACGGATTTCTTACAAGTTCAGGTCTATACTTTTCCTGTGTGAACCACAGCTACTTTTTTTTTTTTCTTTTCTCCTTCATTTATTTAGCTCTGGCCTCTAAACTAGATAAATGAAGTGTTGGCCTTTACTTTTCAAAAGGTTTTGCAGACAGGTTAAAAAGAAAAAGCAATCACCGGGCAGTGCTATTTTGTTAAATCATAAAATCTTAGTCTTAGAAGGAATCTTGACGATCAGGGCAGCCAACCCTGCTACCTCCCTTGGGAGGGGGTCCAGAGAGCCTTGTTCAGTTGCCCGAGGTCATGCCGTCAGCAACAGAAAGGCAGAGACTAGGAGGCATCACTACACCTTTCCCTCCACGCCCCTGCCCTGTAAGGTTCCTTCCAATGCAGATATCTGTTTTTTCAGTAACTGATCTTTTACTCTTACTTCCTGGGAATAGTGGCTGGCATTGTATCATTTCTTGGTTCGATGGTTTTAAATATTATTTTTTGACTTGCGAAAGGTCAGCCTCAGCATTCGTGAAAAAGTAAGCCTTATCACCTGTCCATTTCCCGAGCACGGGTTCGAGAAGCCTCCTGGACACTGGTTGCAGTCAGACCCATAGAAGCCTTTGCAGCACTTTGGTACCTGAGAAACAAAATGTGCATGGCCCTTGGGAACCCAAGGGAGAGTGCCCATCCCTCAAAGGAGATAATATTTTAATTTCTATTATTATCATAAATAGCATTAGCCCCGGCCCCCTTTATGAGCTAGACTTTTTCTTTGGCAGATGACAGCATGGCTAGTGCCCAGCCATCTGTTCACCACAAATCTACTGAGGGCCGACCATGGTGCCAGCTCTGGGGCCATGCTCTTGGGCCCGAGGTTCTATGCAGCCACGGGTTGCCTGTGGGCCTTGTCAATGCCTTACTGCAAGGCCGTCGAAGGGCAGATTCTCTCTGTGGCAGCCAGGCCACCCCCTTCCCCGTGTCCACCCCTCCCATGGTGGCCTATCACTCTTAACATACAGACGATGGCTTGTGCTTACAGGGTCTATGTTCTATCTAACCAGGAAGAGACAGGGGCCAGCCTGGCTCTGGCACCACGTGAACAAGACAGATGAAGGCTTGTGCTCACAGGGTCTATGTTCTATCTAACCAGGAAGAGACAGTAAATAAAAAGAGGAAGAAACAGAGGGAGAAGAAGAAGGGTGGTCAGTGCTGGGAAAACAGTGAGTGGTCAGTGCTGGGAAAACAAAATACCATAATAAAGTGGCGGCAGGTGGCGACAGAGGTGGGGGAGACTGGGGAGGCCACTGTGGATTGGGTGGAAGTGACAGTTAAATGGAGACTTGAAAGATGACTTAGCCCCAAGAGAATCTGGAGGAGCATTCTGAGGTTGGGAATGGCCGCTGTGCACACTCTGAGATGGGGTTGAGGGTGAGAGACAGGTCAGCGACAGAGAGTGGGCCATGGTGGGGGGGTGGGGCGTCAAGAGTGTGGACTCTATGTTAAGAGTGATAGGCCACCATGGGAGGGGTGGACACGGGGAAGGGGGTGGCCTGGCTGCCACAGAGAGAATCTGCCCTTCGACGGCCTTGCAGTAAGGCATTGACAAGGCCCACAGGCAACCCGTGGCTGCACAGAACCTCGGGCCCAAGAGCTTGGCCCCATCCTGCTGGCTTCTGTGTGATCACTGGTGGCCCGGAGGAGGGCTCCGGCCACACACCCTCCTCACCTTCACAGTGGCATTGCAGTATTTGGCACAGCCACTCTTCAGGCTCCTTGTTTTGCCGGTGTAGACGCATCTGTGTGTGAAAAGTGCCTGGAAGAAACCAATGAGGAAACGCATTGCAGTCTGCTTCGAGGTCCTCTGGGCATTCCTTGGCTTCTACATACACTAGATGTTCTACTTCCATGTCACCAACGACATTAGGAAGCTGCTCCAGACACCAGCACATGTGGGTCCTGGTCAGAGCTTGGTCATCATCTTCAGGTACTCTGCTTCCTCGTTGGTAGAATACAGGCCAGGGTTTGCATGGCGCAGGACACGAGTATCTTTCTGCCCCTTCTCATGCAGTGGCAGATATTGCTAATCGATCAAGGAGCACGTTCCTGTCCATCCTAGATATGGCTTAGTCTCCCCTTTTAATGAACTGCCACCCCTAAGCTCCTCTTATATAGAAATTTTGGAGTCAGTAAAGAGTCTATTTCTAATTTATAGAGAGAGCCATCAAAAAGACTAGAGAGAGTCTGAGTTTTTCTCTCAGGAGTAGGGAGTGGGGGACAGATTTAAGCGGATCGTTCCATTCTCTAACTCTCATGTCCACTTTAATTACCTAGAACTATAATTTATTGGGAACTTACTAGGGCCAGACACATTGCACAAATGAGGTTATCGATCTTCAACTCCATGTGGATATTTTTCATCCTTTTTAACAGATGAGGAAACTGAGGCCCAGATAGGTTAAATCACTTTTCTAAGGAACACAGGTAGCAGATGGCAGGTTTGGAGAATGGGACCTGCCTTACCACCTACCAACTTTAGGATATCACAGGCAAGTCATGTCGTCTCTGTGGGCCTCTGCTGCCTAATCTGTGAAACGGGACAATAATACTGATTTCAAGTTTTGTCTTAAGCATTAGTCCCTGGTTCTGATTTTATGTAACATAAATGTTGATGTTGAGCTTACCCCTTCATTAGGCTCTTGTTCAAGAAGATGATATTGAGAATTTCACGAACTATAAAACCCTAAAATCTGAGATGTATTTGTTGAGGAAGGAACATTTGGTTCTCTCGTTGGATCGGAGAGTAATTAACCACGGTAGATCATGGGAGCATGGGAGAGGCAGTTTTGGGGGATTTTGGGCTCCAACCCATTTGTCTCATTACTTTCTTTCCTCTCTTCTCCCTCCTTCCTTGGGGCGAGGCAAGGTGGGATCATGGTCCTGCCACGGGTTAGCAGAGTGACCTTGTGCGAGGTGTTTTATGTTACTCTGCCTCAATCCTCCCATGACACACCGTCATGATGATAATATACCTACCTCAAAGGTTTGCTGCATAAAGCATTTTGAACCACGTCCGGCCCAGAGCATCATAGCCGCTGTGATGCTAGCCAATGCGATGTTCTATTTCTCCTCCCTCTCCATATCCCCTGGTTGAGAGCATGCCTAAGGACTCAGGGTTTCACTAAGCAAAATAAATATCTGAACACCTGTGTCTATTGAATATTCATGTGTTGCTTTCTTAAATGCTTCACGATAGGACTGCATTAAAGAGCCCATCGCCTTCCTTAGTGATTTATTCTAGTCTTGAATGAAACTTCTGGTTGGGAGTTTCCTTTTTAGGATGAACTTACAGGCAGAGATTTCTATCAACTTTATCTCAGGACGCTTTGCTTTTTACATGAATACGTGGCATACAAATTATAAATTATTATACAACTGTCTGTCTTCCTTGTTGGATCAAAGCCTCTCAAGACAAAATCAAAATAAAACAAACTGTATCTTATTCATCTTTTGGCCCCTAGAACCAGCATTATAGTCCTCAATAGACGTGTGTGGAATTCAATCAAACTTGAAAGGTTTTGACGGTTCTGGTGCCATTTCCTTGACATTTCTCTCTAGAATAATGCTTGAGAAGAGCAAATATGAATAAAAGGTGGCAGAATACGCCATTCCAAAGTATGCCACTTTGGCATGAGGATTATTTTGAGCTAAGGGTACCTGAAAAACAGTAGGTACAAAAGGGACACTTCGATCTCTCCTTTCCTTTCTGAAAACAGGGGATAAAACTCCCACATGAAAGATGTCCTCCCTGTATCAGGAGAAAAGGAATATCTTGTCACCACGGACAGGCGGCTGAAGCCAAGAAAGATCTGTACAAACGGGTCCTGTTAAAATAACTGATCTTCCTTTAGCCTCCCCATACGTTTTAGTTACTTTTCCAAAATTGCCTCTCTTTGTTCATCCTCAGCCTACTATATGAGCACTGGGTTTTGCTACTTCTCTAGGTCTTCATTCTCCTATGGGGGCTCCCCTGTAGGTGTAAAAATCTGTATGCTTTTTACCTGTTGATCTATTTTATGTCGACTTAATTCTGAGGCCCAGCTGGAGACCCCGAGTAGGGAGGTAAAGTTTTGCCTCTTAAATAAAACGTTGAATTTTATTTAAGAGGGAAAAGTAGAAAAGGAATAAACTTGACAGAATGGCTACTTGATTTATACATCATGCTTGGGTTTTTACTCTTTGCTAAGTCTGTCTCTGTGGTTATTATTATTATTATTACTTAACAGATATAGAAAATTAGAGTGAAAAGGTTAAAGCAACTTACTTAGGGTTCACGAGCAAGGATTTAAACACGGATCTGTGAGTTGTCTTTTTTTACCATCCCCCACATAGAAGGCTAAGAGCCAGTCTTATATTACCCCAGTTGGAGTTAATATCTTTTAAGAGAAAGGTAGAAAGGATGAGAAACCACACCAGTAAAGTTGCTTGGGTGATGTGTGGTTTTGTGAAGCTGTCACACTCACTGTGGGCTCGGAGTTAGCAGGACATTTGCTCCAGTGCACCAGAGAACAGCTTACACAAGTGCCCTGGAAGAGAAGATGGCAGATCAGCATAGGTGCCCTTGTAGGAGGGAGCAGGGGACTGCTCTCTCTGGCCTCACACTTCCTCTCTGAGAAGGGGGTTCCACTAGAACAACACTTCTGGTCTCCCTCCCACTCCCTACTGACTACTCCCCACCCTGCTCAGCTCCCTTATCTCCTTCTTTTAGGGTCAGACTGTTCACAAGCCTCAGGCTTGTGATCAACTCTCTGCTGCATAGAGAGGCATTTGACCTTGAGGGGACATTGTAGTTGTCCACCTGTACCAAGGATGAAGGATTAGGATGAAGTCTTTGTTCTCCAATGAGCTTAGCAGTAATGAGGCTAAACACAGAATCTCTGCTTTCAGTCTCCTAGACTTCTTTCTCCATTGGTTCTGAATTCAAGGGGAAGGCAAGGGGAGTGTACATCCAAATCTCTCCAGATCCATTCTCTGACCTTCTATACTGGGTCCTGTGCTCCAGAAAGTAGACTTCGAGAGATGATCTCTCAGGCTTCCTTGTATGCTTCCATTTGATCTTGGCTAATGGGAGGCACTAGCAGGAAATTGGTGGGGAGGAGGAGAGCAAGGTCAAGGTATTTTTTCCCTGCTCTCTCTCTGCTTAGGGAACATCCCCACAGCTCCTAATGATTGTCACTTCTTCTACTCTTCCCACTCCCACTGGGTTCCGGTAACTCTACTCCCCACCCCGCACTCAACTCCCCATGACTCCATGGTCCTGGGGGCAGTAATGGTTTCCCGCCATCGCCTCTCCCTGCGTGCCTCAGCATAACTTGTTCTTTTTCTTAGCCCTGCCTATCTCTCTGTAGTAGCTTCTTCATTAAAGTCTCCCCATTTGAAACATTGGAATAAATTCTGTTTCTTGCAGGGACCCTAGACACAAACGAGTACAGGGTGCTCTTTATTAAACCTCTAAAATCCAAACACACATGCCCCCAAATCCAAACATACATGCCCAAAGGCAGCTATGGGTTCAGCCTGGTGAAAACTGAGACTTCCAGAAGGTGCCAGCAGTTTCTATTCTTTGCTAGCCCTAAATACTTTCCAGAGAATGCATTTGTGCTTTTAATAGACTTAATCAAAAATACCGTAAACCATACAGAGCAGATAGATTTGACTAAACCCAGAGAAAATAGTAGAGGATTCCATTCCAAGGCAGCTATTGGGAAGCTCTATTTCCAATCTAATCAAAATCCTTTTGGCTATGGCACAAACCCACATCTTGATTCTGTTCTTGGGATAGATGGAGAACAAGCTTTTGAATAACTTGGAACCAGGCAACCTGCAACAAGGCAGGCACTTAGGGTTGTCCTTTTCCCTCCACAGACTTCGTTCCTTGAACTTGAATGGTGGCTGCTTAGGGTGGGAAAGCCCTGAAGGAGTCTAACTGTTGACTTCTATTGACCCTTTTCTGCAGAGGCCCTATTTTCTGATTATTTTTATCTTTGGGCCAGGGGATGAGACTATTGTCATGTGTCCTGTTCTGAAATTCATCCTGGTCAAAGCCAGGTGATGTACCTGCCAATATTTATTTCAAGGATGGAACCAAACATAAATCACTGCCAGGGACTGGCTGGGAAAGTGACCAAGTTTCTGCCTCTCTTAAAAAGTGGTGCTCAAAGTTGAATCAAATCCCCCAGACGGTATGTGACTGGCATGGAGGATTAGTACCATCTCAGTGGCCTAAAACATATCAGAGACATTATATCAATTAAGAAATCCGGAATCAAAGGAATCAGCCAGAAGCCTGTGCCAGGTGCTCAACTAGCTATTTCTAGCTTTCATGACAAGAAGAAGGATCAATAAAATAAAATCTATAAGATGAGGCCATTATTCCTTGTTCAATTCCTATATTCCAAGGATATTGTGAGAACAATCATTGAAGTATTATTGAGGTGTCCTAAAAAATACCCAGATCTATTATTGCTGTAATTTTGGGGTGTTGTTTCCATGGGAACAGAAAGATCACATGTACAGCAATGTTGAAATTTGGGGTGCTCTGATTAAAACCAGCTGAGCCAAAAAGTTGCTATGAAAACAGGAAAGGCCATTAGAACACACAAGTTCATAAGCAAACAGAAAGTTTGGTATTCAAAAAGAAGTACAAAAAGACAATTGATGGGTTAGGCCAGAGTATTCACCTGAGAAGAAATTCTATTTTAAATCCCTCTTAAAGTGTAGTGGGTCGAACAGTGTTCCCCTAAATTTATGTCCCCCTAAACCTCAGAATGCGATCTTATTTAGTAATTGAGTCTTCACAGATGTAATTAGTTAAGATGAGGTCATACAGGATTAAGGTGGGCTCTACATCTAATGACTTGTGTCCTTACAAGAAGAGACGGGGACATGCAGTGACACACACAGGGAAGAAGACCATGCAAAGATGGAGGCAGAGATGAAAGTGATGCAGCCACAAGCCAAGGCATGCCCAGGATCGCTGGGAGGAGCCAGAGGCTGCAAGGGTCAAGGATGGATCCCCTCTCGGACCTTCAGAGGTGAGCATAGCCTCGCTCATACCTTGAATTCGGACTTCAGCCCTCCAAAACTGCGTGAGAATACATTTCTGCTGCTGTAAGCCACCTCGTTTGTGGCAATTTGTTATGGCAGCTCTAGAAAACGAATACTCCTGTGCAGCACCTATCCCTGTGGGAACTCCTCCAAAGGAACCTTAGTTCACACCCGCCTCCTCATGAAGAAAGAAACCCCTCTGGGATGAGGCTCCTTGGGTAAAACTCTCTTTGTCAGCTTCATCAGAACTGTGAAAGCAGAGAACATTGTCTGGTCTGTGGGGCCCTTATTTACCGCCCTACGTTTCTTACCAGTTTTATCTCTCTCTTTGTTTCATCGCATCGGTGGGGCAGAATTGGGACGATGGAGGGAGGAATTAGAACTCCAGTCAGTGTGTAGATTCGGCCGTTCTTGGCAGTGACCTCAATTTCTTCCATCGCCACATCGTTTGCCAGAATCTGTCCCTGGAAAGAAGCAATGGCATCTTTCTTTCTGTACAGCAGGAGCACCAGTGGTCCCCCGGCAGGTCTGAACAGTGGCGACCTCACTAAAAAGCCTTCAACTTCACTCTTCATTGAGTGGAAGATTGTTATTCGAAGGGTTTTGCTGACAGGGAAAGATGAATCTGTAAAATGAATTCTCGACTGACACCAGGCAAGGATGTCCCTGCAGAAATGGTCCTTGCAGGTGCCAGACTGGGAAGAAGTATAATTAATTATTCCAGCTCTACAATATGTTTGCTATGAGACCCTGGGCAAATTCTTTTACCCCTGTGATGAAATGAGGATCCATTTTTTTTCAGATACACTTATTGACCTTGTATCGGGCTCCGCTGAGGATATATTAGTGAACAAACCCAGACCAGTTCCTACTTATGTTGTAAAGTAGGGAGCAGAAAATGAAAACTAGTGAATTTCCCCCTAAATCTGCTCTACTTGCTATGTTAATGGCAACTCCATCCTTGTGGCTGATCAAGTGAAAATCTCAGGAGTCATCCTTGGCTTCCTCTCTCTTCATTCCCCATCCAATCCATCAACACATTCTGTTGGGTCCACCTTCGAAATACCTTCAGGATCCAATCACTTCTAGCCATGTTCGTGCTACAACCTGGTCTGAGTCACCATCATTCTTCTCTTGATTATTGTAATCGCCTCCTATCCAGTCTCCCAAACTGTATGTCTGATCTTGTCATTTCACTGCTCAAAATCCTCCAATAGCTTTTCATCTCTTTCCAAGTAAGAGCCTACGCCCTTACCCTGAGATCTTAGGCCCTGTGTAACCTGACCCCACTTCTCCTTCTCCCTCTTACTCCCTTGAGCTCCCCTCTGACCTCTCTCCCTTCGGCTCCCTCTGTTCCATCCGTAGTGACCTTGCTGTTCCTCAGCCAGGTCAGGCACACTCCTTGCTTTGTGCCTTTGCATTTACTGTTCCCTCTCCAGAATGCTGTTTATCCAGATAGTCACACTGCTTGTTCCTTCATTTCCTTCAGGTCCTCTGCTCAGGTGTTCTCTTATTCTCCATGAGGATTTTTTTTTTTTGGCCACTTTATCTAAAATGTCAGTCCCATCTCTACTTTCTATACTCCTTCCTTGCTTTGCTGTTTTTCATCTCAGCACTTACTACTCTCTAATATATGATATATTTTACTTATTTCATTTGTTTATTGTCTAACCTTCTATTTACTAGAATGAAAGTTCCAGGCAACCAGGGACTTTTGCCTGCTCACAGGTCTACCTCAGGACCTGAAATGGTGTCTGGCACATAGTAGGCAGGCAACAGATATTTGTTGAAAGGCTGAATGGTCATCATCATCGCCAGCAACAATGAATCAATAGGAGACATAACTTCTACGCTGCCAGGCTTTTGCTGATATTACAACCCCAGGGACTCAGCTGAATAATGTTCCCCCACTTTGAGTTTCTTAAGTCAGTCACGTTCCCTCCCTTCTGCTTGGAATGCTCTCATCTCTGCCCAAGTTCACTCTACTCATCCTTTGAATCTTGGCCAAAGCATCATCTCCTCACTGAGGACCTCTGGACCCTTACACTTGTTCTGATTCTTCTTGCTACATGCTCTCATGGCCCTCTTAAATTCCTCTTGGTGGCACTTATTACAATTGTAATTAAATAACTAATTGGTTTAAACTCAT